TTCATGTTTAAAAGTTGTATAAATTTGTTCTTATAATTTAATAAAGTGTATAATTTTTATTTTAATCTGTTTAATTTTATTAAAATAATTTATTTAAGTTTTGGATGAAATCGAGGAAGGAAACACGCATAAGCTTTAATTGTTCCCTGTTTCAGTTTCAATCTTTGAAAAACTAATGAATAAAAAAATAGCGATGTTTGTAATGCAACATTCCGTCTATAATGGAAGAGAGTGGTGTAGAAAACACTTTAATTATTTTATATTTTATATTCAAATTACATATATATATATATACTCATTAAATAATTTATATAAAAATTATACAAAATTATATATATTTATTAAATAAATAATTCAATATCCATTATAAATTTTACTTTTATGATTTTTTAACCATCATAATTTTGGCAACTAGATGAGAAAAATAAAGAAATTATAAATGAAAATAATTTATAATTTTTTATAAGACAAGATTAATATCTAATGTTTGTACTAAACAGAAAGATTAAGTAACTTGGGTTTCTTTTGTTTAACAGATTTTTTTCCATATAATTAAGAAAAACTCTAACCAAAAACACTTAGCATGTGGAATAAAAATAATTTTTAATTATGTATTATTTTTAAATATTTTATGAAAATCATGAGATGAAAATATTCCTATTTAAGATTTAAATTCATTTAATAATTAAAAATCAACAATAAACACTATATAAAATTCACAGTTATTTAACAAGTGAAATAATGAAAGAAGAGGGTATCATTTTGCATATATTGTGGGATTTTAATTTGTGTGTAGCCGTTGTGATGCTCTCTTCTCTAGGCTGAGGATAATAATAAATATCTACTTTACTTTTTTTTGGGCCAAGTTTCATACTTTGTATTTTAAAATTTTATAATACAATATTGTTTGAATAATACCAATAATTTTATTTTTTTTTATATCTTGACCATGAAATGCAAAATGATATAAAATATATGAATACAAAGTTTCATTTTATAAAGGTGTATAATGAGAAGAAAGAGGGTAACCTTTTCTATTTATGCAAAGTTCAATGATCAAAGTGGCAGATATTTTCGACACTATTTGGATGCTACTAAGGCTTTTTTGGTTTAGAGTGATTTGAAGGAGATGATTCGAATGGATTTGAGGGTAATTTTTTTGTTGTTTTTTTGAGTGGATTTGTGGGTAATTGAGAGTGGATTTTGAAGTAAAGTTTGTGAGAATTAGTGTAGGATTTGATTTATGTGATAGATTTTAAAAATTAGTTTAATTGGTAGAAATTAAAGATTACCAAAATGCCCCTAGTTATAAAAGTAATATAAAATGTTATATTTAATTTTAAAAATGTTTATAAAGAAAAATAAATTATGAATAATTTATAAAATTAATGTTTAAAAATTATAAAAATTAAATAATCAACTTATTTTTAATAAATTAGAAAATATAATATACCTAATTTTATTAAGATGTAGATCTTTTTAAATTATAATATTAAAATAATTATAAAAAAAACTGAAAAATATATAGCCTGTAACCGGTTACGCGTGTGCCACCAAAACTTCATTCTTCTGTAATCGGTTACACTCTTCTGTAACCGGTTACGCCACTCTTTTGTGTTACACTTTGTAACCGGTTACACTCTGTTGTAACCTGTTATCACTTCTTCAACCCCCGCTGCTTCCACGTTTGGTCAGGGCATATGAGTCTTTGTGTATTAAATCAGAGCAAATCCTCGCAAATTGGTGAGATAAGTTCAACAGTGCTATCTCGCAAATCAGCGCTGTTCCATCGTCCCAAATCATCGCAAGAGAACAACGCTCGTTTTCCAAATCCATCATCGCCAATCACCGTGAACAGTTATTTCCCTTCAAACGAATACAGCGTAAGTTATTAAAAGAATCAAATTTAAGGGATATGTCAAAGTTAAAAACAATTAATTAAACGTAATATTTTCAATAATTATTCATGGATATTAAGCTTCACAGTATTTTCTTTTGCATACTCATGTTTTGCATTTAACACTTTATAATGTTTTTCCATCTTATACTCACTTCCATGCTTTTCATGTCTCAATTATGAAAAAGAAGAGTTAGTTTTTTTTTATCTCTTTAAAATTTTAACCATGTGAAGTGATGACCTTTTTAATTTTTTTTCACCCAACTTCTTTTTCTTGTTTTTGTATACATTATTTCTAACTATTTTCTTAAACTATTTATTTCTTTATTTGTTATTTTTTCATAAGTACATCCAGCTAATTAAAATATATTTTTCTTCAATCAAAACTCAAATTATAGTAAGCTTTTTCCTGTTCTAAAATATCTTTACTTTTTTTTTATTGGTGAGTGTTTTTGAGGTTTTGCTGATTTTATCAGTTGAGAAATATTATTCAAGTATTTGGTCTTAAAATGACCAAATACTATTTATTTAATTTGCATTAAATTGTGAGATCGAAATTGTTTAGTTATTTATGCAAGTTATATATAATTAATTTGTTCCGTTTAAGATGACATATTATACTTAGAAATATATATATATATATATATATATATATATATATATATATATATATATATATATATATTATTCGATTAATAATTAATTAGATATCCGTCTTAATATATGTTTATCAGTTATATTAGACAATAATTATATTAATATTAATTAAAAATCTATTCTGAAACTTATAAATATAATTAAAGTTAAGAAAATAAATAACTATATTTATTACATTGTTAATAGTTAATTTTAGGTTTAATGTCTCGATAGGTTCCTATTTTGGTCCGGAATCTCAAATAGGTCCCATTTCTTTTCAGCGTATCAATTGGGTCTTTGTTTTTGTAAAATTTAAGAAATTAGAGGCCTGTTGTCAAATTGAACAAACGGCTATGGGTTACGTGGCATGGTCAATGTATTTACTAAGCATACGTGGCACTAAAAACTAGTTTTGTATTAAAAAATTTGTATGCACAGAGGTGAAATCAGTTTTAGGGAAGGTCAAAGTGGGAAAAATGAAAAAATTTAAGGGTAGCCCCTTTAATTGAGAAATGCAACTGAGATTGGGGAAACAAATTGGGGGTTCGTATTGTTAAGGTTCGTGTGAGAGAAAAAATCGCATTCTTTCTTCGATTCGAAGCGCCAGGGTTCGTGGGTGAAGAACATCTAGTTGGAAGCGCGAGGGTGTGCGTTCTTTCTTCGATTCGAAGAGATGGATAATGAAATGCATAAGTCGCATTCTTGTTCATCTTCGACATGCAATGGGTGGCGAAATCAAAACTCTGATGTCGTTTTTCGTGGTGGTGGAGTATCTACGATTGATGGTGTATCACCCCTTTGCCTTTGTGGAAAGAAAATGATGGTAAGAACAACTTGAACTGCTAAGAACAGAGGGAAGCAATTTTGGGGCTGCCCTAAGTACAAGGTAAAAGAACGTGGATGAGTAGTATTTTGTTTGAGTAGAAAGTCATTTTAATTATTTTTTTTACAGAATGGACATGAAGGTGATTGCAATTTCTTCAAATGGTGTAGTGACGATGGTATTGAGAAAAGCTATACGAATGTGAAGTGGGAAGAAAAGCATGAGTGTTTGTCAAAGACAGGAGAAATGGGAAGTGGAACGAAGATGATGAGTGATTTGCATAAATCTGTTAAGGTTGTGGAGAAATGGATTAAGGTGTTGATAGGGTTGGTTTTTTTGATTTGTTTTCTTAATATTATTGTAATTTCAATATGGATGATAAATCCATAATGTAGTAGTGTTGGTCGTTTTGTTAGGATGAAATTAGCAGGGTTTTTCGTTTTGTTAGGATGGTACTGATTATGTATTTGACTATGGGAAGGAATGAAGTTGTGTTACTGAAGTGGGAATCGTAATAAATTGAGGTTTTGGTTTAATGTTATATCACTGTGAAAAAGGTGGTTTTGTACTGTATGAGCAACAATTTTACAATGAATCCCTAGCAAAACTATATTTACAATGAATATCTAAGCAACAAAACTACATCTACAACTCTAACTTCCTTGTGTTTTGCATATATAGTTGTGTTATATATATAACTTCCCTAGATAGACAAGTAATAGAACCGATAAAAGAGTACTTAGTTTGATCCGCTACTTAGATAGACAAGTAATATAACTTCCCTACAGAATGCACTTTTTTCAAAACAAGCTACTGGATTCAACTTTGCATCATAAAATAAGACTCAAAGTGATGGTTTAGAAAGTGAAAATGCACAATAGTTATTCTGAGTCATTAAAATAAACTTGTTTCAATTGCGAAGTGACACCGAATCAAAGAAAAATGATTTCTGACCTTGTAATAGCTAATTGTACAGAAACATGCTCAACCACACCAACAAAATTGAGTTCTACTAATTTAAATGATAAGGCAATAATAAAAGTCACTAGAGGAAGTGTAAATACACTTATCTAAGCTAGAAAATAGCAGCTCCACATGACTAAACTCGAAGTGGACTTTGTAAGGATTGATTAGCATGGTGAAAAGGTTAAACTGGACTAAAAAAACAGCAATGTGCTTTTGGTTTTTATGTTAAACCGAAAAAACAAAAATGATCCTTCTTAACTTCAAGAGATCAAAGAAAATTGATCTTCCAAAGACTTAACAATTCAGAAGTTAACTTCCTGCAACAATTTCTAAACATAAGTGTGCCCACCAAAGTATTCAGAAACAATCCTAATGCTTTAGGCATACAACAATGAAAGTACAGTGCCAGATATAATTTATGAAACAAGAAAATTGGCATGGCTATCATTTATGACCGACCATTTACTACACATCACATCAAACAAGAAAATTCTAATATATTCTAAATCATATTGAGAAAATAGTTCTTGCTCATTGTCATACATCCAAAACCATACACAATTGGCATCAGTCATTCATAAAGTACATAAAAGAAAAACCATAAACATTGTTCCTTAGAATTGAACTATTACATAATAAGATCCTTAAACTTGGCATCATTGTCATTTATACACACATCTATAGTTGAGCTTCCTGGTCATTCATACACACTTCAGATAACTGTGATGATGGCATGATTGGTTCTTGGGTTGCTTTGGGGCAACGACTCCTGTTGTGCCCAACCTCCCTACATAGTCCACATCTCTTGCACAAACCACCCTTGCTCACTCGAGAATCATCCTTTCTGATCTCCCACTGCTCCAATCTTCTTTTCCTTTTAGGTCTTCCGGGCATAACTTTTTTCCTAGGAGGCATGACATCCGGATATGGTGTTAGGTCCCACATGTTGTTGTCGTTGATGGGGTATACGATTGATGCATATGTTTCTTTGTAGGTGGACTTTAGAAAGCAAGTCGGAATGAACTGTTGTCCATCAATATTGAAAAACTTCATTGCGGCTAGGGAGTGACAACATGGAATTCCTGTGATGCTCCATCTCCTGCACGAGCATGAGAACTCGTCTATGTTTACAACAAATTTTTCTCCACTTTGGGAGACGTGTCTCACTTCAAATAGTTTATTTGTTGACCAGCTGTGAACAAATTATAAAACAAATTAAGAAAGTTTACCTAGGAATGAATAAAGCATAACACATTTAAGTAGTGGAGAAGAAAGTTACCTAGGGATCCAGTTCTTGGTTGATTGGGATTCCTTTGTAAATCTAGTCTGGATCTTTGGACAAATTGGTCCTGAAAATGACTGTATCTTATACCTGCTTTTTGCCCATCTTTGCATGATGTAGACCCTAATTTTTTCCAGCATTGTTATGATTGGTTTAGTCATGGTGTGAACCAGGACACTATTGAAAGCCTCACTCATATTGTTAACCAATGTATCACATTTTGGTGTTGGACTGAATCTGGACCTTGACCAATATCTACAACATATGATATAAACAAATGTTAAGAGTATATGAAAACAGGTGAAGCACATTGATATTCATATAGTATTAAACAAATGTTCAATGTGCCTAACAAAGTTCAATTCTCCTACTCATTTGAAAAGTATTAACCTACAACTAATAACTACTGCTATATCCAACAAAATGCAAAATATCTATACATCACAGCTACAGACTTAAATCAACAAAGACAACGAGAAATGCATATCAAAATCAATCTATAGTCTATGATTAATATCAAAACTACTTGTATAATATTTATATCAAAACTCACATGACCAATATTCAGCTTTCCACTTTCCAGAAACATTTCCACAAACATACTTAAATCAATAAGTGGTGTAAATTAGAAAGGGCAAAAAAAAAATACAAAATATCAACCTTGGAGGGATGACAATCAAATGCTTGAATGCGTCTTCATTTACATCTTTAATGTTTCTCATTTTCCTCTCCCAATTTTGTGGATGAGTGGCAGTAGCTACCCTCCACATCAGCCGTTTCAGATTTTTACCAGGAAATTTTTTTCTAAAGTTTGAATATAAGTGTCTGACACAAAATTCTAGTCAACACCTGTAAGTAGCTGTTGTATGGCTAGTAGTAGACCTTGTGGTGTTAAAATAAAAAATAAAAGTTACGACCATATCAAATTAATGAATTAATGTAGGAAAGAAGCAAATTAAATATGATTATTACCTTTTGTTGGTTTGACACAAAAGTAATTGATGAACATATTTCTTTACCACCAAGATCATCAATCAAAAGATTCAAAAACCACGTCCATGAATCTTTGTTTTCCACTTCTACCACCACATATGCAATGGGCAACATTTGATCATTTTCATCTCTCCCAACAGTCGTTATCAGCTCACCACCATACTTCCCTTTCAAAAAGGGCCCATCTAATCCAATTATTGACCTACAACAGACAAAATTTTCTTTGCATGCCTTCAGACAACAGTAAAATCTGTTGAAAATGACCTCGCCCTCATTATTCTCACATACACCTTAACTGTAGATCCTGGATTTCTTTCCAACAACTCATGCGCATAATCATATATCCTCTTATATTGTTCATTAAAGGACCCATCAATGTGATTAGAAACAATAGCTTTGGATCTATAAGCCATACACATATACCTATGTTCCACTTCCTTCACTTCCTTTGAACTTTTTCACGAATATCAACACCCTTCATCTTAGGATTTTCCCTTACTGATTTCACCAACTTTTTGCTCAACCACTTGGCGTCAAGTAACTTGAGGTTGAACGCCCTGCTGCATGTATGAATGTCTTTTTTAGTTCTCAGCTGCCATGATTTTACAGCCTCCATATAACCAAAGTATATGGTCCATGGGCATTCTCCTTTTGCACTAAAGCACTTCATCCTCAATTTTCTTTTGTCATTTTTTACAAACTTTATTTTCCTCCCATTTTCCAAGGCATACCCTTTTACAACATCTAAAATATCTTGTTTTTCTGCAAAAGAAAGTTCCAACTTCCCATGTAAAGTCTACCATACTTTTTGGCATACAAAAAATACCAAACCTCCCATAACCTTCACTGTCATTAACCTCTTCATCACTATCTATTGCACTAAGTAATTCCTCATATTTCCACTCCTCATTTGACAAACCTCTATCATCATGATCATGACATTCAACACTCACATCATCACTATCATAAAGACTTTCTACTTCTACTTCTGCTTCGACATTACAATCTACATCACCATCTATATCACATTCAACACTCACATCTATTAGCCCCTCTAAGCACTCATTATTTCCATGTACATCACCTTCATCAGTAGATATACTCCAACTACAAAGATCAACTTCATCCTCCATAACTCCTTCACAACATTCAACTTTTGCTCTTCTTCAACCTGATGCAACTCTTGTACGTAACCATGACCTTTAACCTCTACTTGAACACCATCACCAGCTTCTTCACCCTCATGCACCTCTTGTAAGTTACCATCACATTCACCATCTTCTTCACCCTCATGCACCCCCTCTAAGTCACCATCACATTCACCATATACTTGAACAACATCACCATCTTGTTCACCCTCATGCACCTCTTCTAAGTCACCATCAACTACACCATCTACTTCAACACCATCATCATCTTCTTCACCCTCATGCACCTCTTGTAAGTCACCATCAACCTCACCATCTACTTCAACACCATCACCATCTTCTTCACCCTTTTTTTGTACTTCACCATTACCTTCAACTTCTCCTTCATCATTAGTAATATATATTGAAGCATATGTATGACTTCCAGATGAGAAACAACATGCACAACGTATAAATGAATCTCACCATTAAGCCTAGCTGAGTTAGCCATATGTATGGCACCAATGTCATCAATCAATTGTTCCAACCTATTTTCTAACACTAAATCCCCTCCTACATAGTACCTTAAATCTTAAAAATTATCATATCCAAAACTTTTCACCACACTGACAACCACAAAAAAAACTCCACATGTTAGGGTCAAAGGATAAAGTTGTTGTCTCCCCTTAGGGTACCATCATTGATGAACTTTCCTCCATGGTGGAAAACACAGTCAATAACGTCCTCCATTACGCACAACACAATATAAATATATCTATACACCTATTATGCAAACATATGACGACAAAAAAAAAATTAAAATAATAACAACACGCACTCAGACAAAGTCAAATAACTTTAAACATACATGGGAAACCACCGAAATGCAATCAACAACGCAGACCCAACCATACATCAAAGGGGGACCACCACCGGATATTGTAGTTTCCCAACTATAAAAACAAAGACAATAAAACACAAACACCGACCTTCCTTCAGATTAACCTCCACTCACCACATGCTTCAGCCTCGTGCTTCCAACAACAGAAGGACCCACACCTCACCTACTGAGACATGAACTTGCGCATGCACTCTCGCGCTTCCAACTAGATGTTCTTCACCCACGAACCCTGGCGCTTCGAATCGAAGAAAGAATGCAATTTTTTTCCTCACATTAACCCTAACAATACGAGTTGCATTTCTCAATTAAAGGGGGCTGCCCTTAAATTTTTTTTCATTTTTCCCACTTTGCCTTTCCTTAAAGCTGATTTCACCTCTGTGCATACAAATTTTTTAATACAAAACTCGTTTTTAATGCCACGTGTGCTCAGTAAATATACTAACCATGCCACGTAACCCATACTTAAACTAACCCATACTTAAACGCTCGTTTGTTGAATTTGACGGCATACCTCTAATTGCTCCAATTTTATAAAAATAAGGAGCTAATTGATACGCCGAAAAGAAAGGAGACTTATTTGAAATTTCGGACCAAAATAGGGACCTACCAAGAGATTAAACCTTAATTCTAATATACAGACTAAACATTAAAATACTTTTTACACTTAACTCCATCACATTAGATTGTAAAACAGTTTGGAATTTATTAGAAAGTTAGTATATGAGACCTCCTTAACTCTACTACTGAAATAAATAAATATATATATATATATATATATATATAATATTATTTATAAAAAGGTATTTTAAAATATATGTCGGTAAGTCTCAAAAATGTAGGAGTACGTATATAAAATCAAGCGGAGTAGGAGTAGTGTGTTTTTATAGATAAACCAAGAAAAATAAAGTCAAAATGTCAAATCAAGAAAAGTAGGAGTATTGTCTCATTTTCTTCTGCATTTATCCTCTTTGTTAATTTCTTCACTTGGTTGGGACATTTTTTCTTTTGTTTTTGATCCATTGTTATTGGTTGGCTTATTAAATGGTACGAGACAACCTCTCATAGGGGCATCAAATGTACCTATGCTGTTACTTCCTCAAAAACCGACAAACATGTACCCTATTATGTCTGAATAAACCTTATACTAAATTTATATTAACATATTCGGAAAATTTTTACATAATTATAAAAAGAATTATTATACCATCCTTTTATCTTTATAGGATGGTGTAAGAAGAAACGCATGAAGGCGTAAGAAGAAACAATACAGGCCCATTTTCTATCGATTCCAACACTACTTACAAAACCAACCTTACATTTGGTTGTCTTATGTAATGATGTCATTGTAGGTTTCATAAAAGCTTGTTGAAACGTTACACGTTGAATTGCAAAAGAAAAAGTTGTATGTAATAAGTTATCACGCTTGTAGTGATGAAAACAAAGCTTGCTTGCAAAACCTAAACAAAGGAGCTTTTCACATTCATGTTTCATACTCACATGTTTCTGATGTTTTATCACGAGATTTTTCTCTCTTTTGCTCTTCTTTACTTTGAATGAGGGTTTTGACATTTAAGCTCTAACTCAACTACCATCTACCTATCTTCTTTTCTCTTTTCAACATTAATCAATGCTACCAACATTACAATCTAATGCCATTTTAACTATAAGCTTTATAGCAAATAATTATTTTCATTTTTCGCCTAAGAAATACTTCCAATAACCAGTTAGTGTTCATAGGCCCAGTTCAACCCACTAAGAAATAGCCGCAGAACCCAATGCCGGATTTTACTTTCTGCACCCCTCGAATTTTCAAATGATCGTTTTGCACTCTGTTAAAGTGACTTCCATAATACGTATTTTTAAAACTTTCCAAAATAAGTTTTCTGGAATTTTCAAAACAAGATTCTTTGAACAAGATTTCCAAAACAAAATTTTTGAAATTTGATTTTTTTGAAACAAAATTTTTAGAATGCATGAAGTGTATTCTAAAAGGAAAATGTTATTTGGACAACAAAAGTTTGACACAATTTTGACAACGGCGACGTGGCAGCTGTGCATTGGCTAAGTGAATTGAAAACAAACCAGAAAAAACCCAAAATACCCCTCACCCCGGTTCCAAACAAACTTTCTGGAACACATATAATACCTTCAAGATAAATTTTCCAAAACACTAGGTAAACGCATTAAATACATTTTGGAAAGAGCTTTTTAGAATAATTTTTTTTCTTCATTTTATCTCTTCTTCTTCCTCCTCTGCAATGTTTCTTTCCTATGCAATGTTGCTTCTCTCTTCTTCCTCTATAGCAGCATGACGATTAAAATGGCAGCAACAACAATGGCAATGGTGGTAATTCTAAAGGTGTTTGAGTCTTTTTGTCTTATTGTGAGGTGTACTTAATAATCGTGGGAGTGCAGAAAGAAGTAGCTTCAAATATTAATTAGATTCCAACCATTTTTCTATTCCATATCACTAAATTAACATAACCACCGCCCACCTACCTAATCAATTGAATTTAAAATTGCAACCGTGCAAACAACCATATATAAAACCCACAAACTTATCTTCCTCTTCATCATTGTTCACCATTGTTGATTGGTGTATGCAAAACTAATTTTTAAACTATTAGTTTTATATCATTAACCCAAAAAATGAAATCAAGAGAGAAGAGATGAAAGTGATCATATTCCAAATTACCATGCAATATTACTCTAATCATCATGGAAGGACAAATAGAGTCCAAATGCGTGTTTGTTTCTCCATTTTCGTACAAATTGAAAACAAGCACACTAATTAATTAACTTATACCTACCCCATTTTCCTAAACAAATTGCTATGATATCCCAAGACAAATCTAAGAATGTTGATACCGTTGAATGAGTTTGAACACAACAATACCAAAATCCTTAAATTTGCAAACATACCATAGAAGTTAACCGTTTCCTGTTATTGTTCATGCATGGATGAAGAAGAAGCCATGGCCACCACCCCAAGTTTCTGAAGGTTGAGTTTCACCACAGTGTCCACGAACATCTTCGTATCTTCCTCCGTATTCCCTTCGGGTATGTCTACGACATACGATTCCAATACGATGGTGTAAACCCTACCCTCTTTCCTGAACTCGTTGACCGACGTAACGGAACGGTAGTTTTTGAGTCGGTGCTCGCCACCAACCACCCTAAAGCTCAGCACGTGTTTGTCATCGTCCAAAATCTCGAGTCTCTCGGTGCTCGTCGACGCCGGAAGACCAGAAACAACGGTTACTTCTCTTATGCTTCCGACGCCACCGTCACCTCTCATGTTGCACCCTTTGATGAAGTGCTTGTACTTCTGAGGGCTCTCGAAGCTTCGCACGAACGGCCAAACCGTGCTCGCAGGAGCATCGATGCGGTACGATATTATGGAAGAACATTTGTTGGGACAGTGTTCGAAAAGGTGGTATTGTTTTATCACAGGTTCTAGTTCTGTTTCTTCCTCAGCTGTTAGGCCTTGGACATGGTGCTGGGTTGAAGCCATATGATGTTTTCTTCGTGTTTTGCTGTGAACTTTTAATGTTTCATGCAGAAGGAAGAAGACATGTCAGTTATGAGGAAAGACATTGATGATATATACATGGAGATAGATAGGGTAGTGGACAAAATAATCATAGAAAAAACAACACATGAGAATTGAGAATCGATGTGTATGGTTGGTTATTTATAAGGTTTTTGTCTTTTTGTTTTATGATGTATTATATGACACCACAACATCACTTGCTACGTCAGGACCATGCTAAATAATTTCCAGAGAAATTATTTTATTATTGCTTCGGAAGAAAGACAGAAATATGAAGGAAAAAAATTATATATTAGATGGGAAATGATTTTTTTTTAGTAAAATATTGAGTTTTAATTATAGTGTGTTGTCTCTAACATTATTTATGTAATATTCTCTTACTTCATATGTAAGGTAGCATTTGCTGGTTGGACCTTAACTTTAGCTATATGAGGAAATGTGTTGTCTCAAACACCATGTATTTTTAATTATTTTTTATTGAATTCGTAGCTTTGTCTTATGGTGATTTGAAGCAGATTCGGTGATGCTTTTGAGGTTTTTTTTTTATAATTTTTTTAATTTAATTTAATTTTTGTTTTGGCCACTAGTATTCATATCAGGGACAGGTTTGTAATAATTGTGCGTCATGTTGACCTTTGCCTTCGCTTTATTTTTTTCCTAAAAGTGATGCATACGTTAGATATGTTAAAACTAATTATTAGTAGCTTCTTTTTATATATTTTATTTCACAACTCACAATTCTGAAATAGACTAACTCTAGTTCACATTAGTTCAAATCAATTTTGACAACTCCATTTTTCTACCAATAAGAGGAAACTCATATCTTACAAACATCAACCAATTTAAATATAGTGTTTTTAAATGTTATCTAAATCTTAAAGTATGTACTGTATTCGAGTCTTCATGAAATTTTTTTAACCTAATTGTTGAATATTAAAAAATCAATTTTTTTAACTATAGAAATATATATCGAATACATAATGCTCTAGATCTTGAGAATACATAAGATGTGAAAACCCTATTATAATATGTAATTTATTCCACATTCAAAATAACCGTGTTTGGATTTTAGTTAACACACCCATTAAAAACAAAAATCATTATAAACTTCAATTGACCTTAAAGCTACAATTTTTCTTTGACCCAATTAATTTTAACTATATAATAATCCAAATTCACCCCAATATATCATGTGAATGTTGATAAGATAAACCATGAGTTATGTGAAAGTTGATAGTAAAAGTTTGAGTGAAGTGTTTAGTTTGGAGAGGGGAGAAGTGAGAAAAGGTAGAAAGATTGAGAAATCATGTGAGAAACTCTAATCCTCGTGATCTATAGCTTCACTTTTGGCTTCAATACTCAAACAAGAGAGAGTGATTGATCTGAATTCTCAAAGGGTTTGAATCATTGGGGAGTTTCTTCCCTGCAAAGGTTTTGCATGTGTGTCGCCACCTGTTTGCACAAATGTCACCACCAGAGTTGCAGAAAACTGACCATAATTAAATTGCTTCAAAGCAAAACCATCTATATCAGTATATCAGCTTTGGTCTATACATATAATGAGTTCTCGGGTCTATATCATTTTACTCAGCAACTAGGGTATGGTTGGTTTATCATTCCAACCTTATTGAAATACACATTTTCCACTTTCCAATAAGAATAAAGTAGATTGAAAATGCTGTTGCACACACACTCATTACAAAGATTAAAATCATATTTGGATAATTAATTTGAGAGTTTTTAAAAGGGATATATTTATTAATTTTGAAATACTTTTAAAATTGTAAATATTTATTTAGGTGAAAATAGTTACTCTATTCTTATTTTTTAAGATTAAATTGCCTAGTTTATTTGGATTCAGATAAGTGATTAACTTACCTCATAGTGTACATTTATAAACTTTAAAATAATCCTTACAATTAATACTTCTCATACTATCTTTATGTATAGTATTTTACTAATTCAATTAAAAGTATTTTAGTCTATGAATGGAATCATACAACAAATAGATGTAATTTTAATTTAGATATTAACATAAATAAGAAGAGAGGAAGTAAAAAACTTGTTTTAAGTCTAAAAAAAAGCATATTTGATCCCTGCAAAATTTATTTTAACAAGTGATCAGATTTATTGCTTTTTTTATATAAATGAAACTTCTAGTGATGCACCAACACGTGAAATATAAATGACCCCAAACTAATAGAAGAGCACTAATGAGGACAATAATATAAGGTGAGAAGTTGTGAGAAATTCAAGAAAAGGTGAAGTTGTGAGAAATTCAAGAAAAGCTACGTTGAAACGACAGACACTGACACTTTCTCATTAATAAACGCATCATTGGACTCATTTGTGCATGTTTTTTTGCATTTGTCTATTCCTTCATGTAGGAATTTTACTATTATTTCACTTTTATTAACATAATCTATATTATGAAAATGAATATTGAAGGTTCTGGAATTCGGAAGCAACCTAAGCTTTGTAAATGAATATTGAAGGTTCTGGAACTGGGAAGCAACCTAAGGTTTGTGTCAAGTACAAACAAAGTTACAAATCCAACAAAAGATAGTTAAACATAAATTTATATATATATATATATATATATATATATATATATATATATATATATATATATATATATATATATATATATATATATATATATATATATATATATATATATATATATATATATATATATATATAAAAGATACTTTTGTTGGTAAGAGATTTTCTAAAATGATACCAAAAATAAATTCGTAAAGACTTGATCCAAAACAAACAATATCTTATTATCTGTATTGTCTCTTCCTACACTTTAATAGTTTCAGTGATTGTATATCGATATTTATGAAAATGTTAATTATTATCTCCATTCATTAATAAATAAATATCAGCAATACCATATTTTATATAATATATGATCATTAATGTTAGAGATGATTATATTTTCTAAACGTTAACAAAATTACTATATATATATATATTTTAGATAGTTTTTAAACTCTCCCAACCATGATTGGAGTTAATTATTAGAAGTTGCAACTTTTTTTTTCTTTTGTCTTCACTTTTACTCAATTTTTTCATTACTTTTTGTTTTCAGCTTTACCTGTTTCATGTGATTTTGTTTCAATAAAAATGTTAACGCTCTTCAAATTGATGAAATAATTCAATTAAATGGGTATAAAATACGAATTAGATTAATGAAATTTAGATCGAGAATACATGGGCCTAATTCAGTCCACCAATAAATACATTAGTACAACGCGCATTAATATTAACATATAATTTGAAAAACGAAAAACAAAATGTATTAATTTATAATACATAGTCAATGTATACGAGAATATTTTCATTACTGTAAGGTATATTGTGAAACTCTGAAAAGAAACCCATAAGTGAGACGAAATAGAAATACCAGATATTACTTTTACTAGTTTAACTATATTTTATAAATAAATAATTTAGAATTAACAAATTCACTATAAATATATCATTACTAACTTAATAAGTCAAAATTAACAAATCTCCAATTACGATTATGTTTTTTCACTCTCGACTTACTAATTTTTCAAGTAACTATTACCCCTCAACAAGGTATCATATAAAATGTAATGGAGTCCAAACACATTAATTGTTATATCAATATAGACAAAATTTAATCCTGTTTCTTATTTAAAATTTAAATAACAAAATTAATTAATTTTCCTACATTATTAAAAGGTATCAGTGTATTTTTGTTTTCTAAAATTTCTTTTATTAAAGAATAACATCGAAAGTAAAAAAGTATAGTTAAAATGTAAGCTTAATTAATTAAAAATATTTATGAAATGATACATATCATTAAAAAAAGAAAATAATTCAAATTTACTCATGTTTAAGTCTATTAAACTCTTTTTCTTCTTCCACTTTTTCTTATAATTCTTATAATTCAATCAAAAGGAAGTATACTAAATGAAATTTAAATAGTAAGTCTTCTTTTAGTGATTTGTTATGATAATTTTAAATAAAAAATATTAGTTATTAAAAAAATACTCTATACTATTATTATTTCAAATAAAAAAAATATCATATCACCATTATAATAAGGCTCAAAATCTATATTAGTAATTTCTTTAAAAAAGGTGATTAAAATAATTTAATATTTATTATTTTCTATAAATAAATTGTTTTTTAAATAATATTTATGTTCAAATTATATCTTTTCCTTATTATAACGGTTACCTAGGAAGGATTACATGTTGACTTTGAGATATGAACTTGACAAATGTCAATATTTTATAGTGATATACACTGTTAGTTTTAATAAAAAAAAGAATATATTTTTATAAGTGCGTTTGATCAATAATTTTGTTAAAATTGACAAAGTTTATAACTATTTGATCTAAAAGCATTAAAAACAGTTTTATTTGACACACACATACACACATATATATATATATATAAAAGGGAAGAAGATGAAAAAAGAATAAAGTTAGTGTAGAGAACAAGTGTTCATTTATAGAAAACATTTTTTTTTCTTTTTATAAGAGGGATTGTTGGTGTGTTGGTAAGCAAAGTGAGAGTGAAAATGAGATATGGATTGTTGTCTCATCTGGTGAGACACAATTGTGCTTTTTTAACATGTAGGGTAGTGCTCTTATGGTAAGGGTTGAAGACGTAATGTGTCTTGTCTTTTTGAGTCAAAGAGAGATTATGAAAATGTGGGTCTAGAATTGATTAAAGTTGTCTAACTTTATGCCATTGGCCTAATATAATAATCAGGTTTTAACTTGTTTAAATCATTGGATATAATTTTTTTTTATCTGGTTAATGATAAAATTAATTAAATTTAAATTTAAACATGTTAATTTTAGAATACTTTGAGATCTTTATGATTTGTTGACAAAGAAAAGATATTTTTAAAAAAAGATTAAATATGTATTTGTGAATAAATTATTATAAAAAGTTGTATTTGGTATCTAAACAAAATTATAATATTTATTTCATGTGATGTATATTTTTGAGCCATAAACGGAGTCACTAAACTATAATATAATCTCTATATTCGTTGAAGAAAAT